AGAGTAGTACTCCAACAGTAAATAGCTTTTTTCACTCATCTGTTGATGGACTCATTGCAAGGCTTAGCTACTATAAATTGTGCTGTTATAAACATGTGTATACGTGTATTATTGTTACATGCTGGCTATACCTCTTTGGGGAGAATACCTAGAAGGGGAAGAGCTGAGTGAAAAGATTTTAATTTCAGTGTTTTGATTTCCAAAGAGGTTGTGTTTGTTTACATTTCCGCCTAAGATGTAGAACGATATGCCCGCCACACATACACATCTCCCAGCAGCCTTACCAGCATTTGTTATTTGGTTTCCTAATGATGGCCATTCTATCTGGGTAAAAGTAAATCTCAGTGTGGTTTTAATTTGCGTTTCACTAATGACCAGTGATATTGAGCATTTCTTCATGTATTAATTGGCTATTTGTACTTCTTCCTCAAAGTGTCTATTAATTTTATTTGCCTATTTTTTATTTTATCTTTTATTTTGGAGAATCTCATTTTTGGGGTAAACAACCCCAAAACAATATAGTCTAGATTCTATTCTTCTGTCTGAGGTACAGCCAGCAATTTTTTTTCTATTCTGTAAGTTGTTTTTTCACTGTGATTTTTAGTTTTTGCTGTGCAGAATCTCAGAAGCTTTTTAACTTGATATGATCGCATTTCTTCATCATCAGTACTATTTCTTGTGCAGTGGGAGTCTGTTTAGAAAGTCCTGGCCTACACGTATAACTGCAAAGTTTTATCTACAGTGTTTTGTCTTCTAGCAAGTTAAGTGACTCTGATTTAACATTTAGTTCTTCGGTTCATTTTCATTTTGTTTTACTACACTGTGAAAGATAAGGGTCTATATTTGATCTTTTAAATATGGATAGCCAAGTTTTCCCAACATCATTATTAAAAGACTATCTTTTACTCAATGTATGTTTTTGGTAGTTTCTCAAAGATCAAATAATTAAATGTGTATGAGGTTGTTTCTACATCTATTGATCCTCATTTCTTTGTGTCAGTACCATTCTATTTTCTGGGAGTTTTTTGTTGGTGTTTTAAAATCATAATAGCTTTGTTCTATAATGTCCAAAATAGGGTTGTGATGCTTTGTGCTGTATTCTTTTAACTCAGGTCTGCTCTTTGCTATCCTGGGTCTCTTTAGATTCATATGAATTTTAGCATTGTTTTCTCCTAAACAGAATGTTGTTGGAATTTTTGTTGAGATTGTATTAGATGTGTATATTAATTTTGTAAGTATAGCTATATTGACTACATTGATTCTGTCTATTCAGGAACAGTGGATATGTTTCCATTTTCTGATGTCTTCTTCTATTTCCTTTGGCAGAGTACTGTGGTTTTCATTGTATATATCTTTAAATTCCATGGTTAGGTTAATTCCTAAGAACTTACTTTTTCCTAGTGCTCCCATGAATAGTACCTTTTTCTAATTTATTTCCTAATTCTTAATTAAACTATTAGTGTGAAATAATACTATTGATTTTTGTGTGTTGAATTTTTATACTGCCACATTACTCAGTTTAGTTAATTCTAAGGCTTTTAGTGGATTTGGGAGAGGGGCCTGACATCTGCAAATAATGGCAATTTGACTCAGCCTAGGTAAACTCTGAGTGAGTCTGGTGTGAAAGTGGCCCTAATGCAGCAGCAGCCTGGGTGGAGCAGGGTTCAATGTGGACTTGGTTACCTTTCTGGAGGGAGGCAGTATTGAATGCTACCTTATAGCTCCCTAAACTGGAGCTTAAAAGGGCTATAAGACTCCCCAGAAACAAAATGTCAGATGTCCATGGTGCCACTGGTGGGTAGTTTAGAACTGATATTTGTCACTTTTGCTTAGAGAAAGATTTTTTTTCCCAATTTTAAGCTGTCTTGACTGACCCGACTAGGTTATTGATGCAAGGCATATTGTTCCTTTCCTTACAAGGCCATCCCTTGTCTTCATTTCCAGTTTTTCCCTTTCTTGGGCACAGAACTCTAGCACTCTCATCCAAATAGCTTAGCTATATATAAATTGTTTCCTCTTTGTCTCAATCATTCTTTATGACAGGGATACGTGTCTGGTACCTCTAACCAGCCAATTGATCAGGTCAAATACACTTGTCAATTTTGAACAAATAAACCAAATATAGGTTTTTGGATCCAAGTCTGTAAGTGGAAAAGTGTTGGAGACCATAGAATATGAAATAATAATTTACTATGTTATGGACCAGGCTACATGACTATAGTCCCAGGCCCGGTGTGACTTGCTTCATTGGACAAGAGAGTTTGCAAATAGCTGTAAACTCTCTGGCCATGGTGAGAAGGTTCCTATTCACAGCCTGGAACAAGATAATATCTGCCTAAGGAAGAAGACCATATGCAAAATACAGGCACCCAAGGGAAGTACTTTACTTTGTCCTCTGAAATGTTAAACTTGACCTCTATTTTATCTTATTTTTGCAAGCTGTTCCAAGAAAAGGGCCGTTAGTCCCTGAGATTTTAGGGCTTTTTTTCATAATATGGGCAACACCAAAATATCAGAGAGTCAGTCCACTAGAGAGAACTCCTCCTGGTCCTCCCTTGAACCAAAAGAGATACTGTCTTTTGTCTTTATTCAAGTATCCAAGTTTCTGATGGGCTCCTAGAAGAAAAGAATCTGCAGTCTTATTTGTGGTGGAAAGATGAAGAACTATAAAACTGAGTATCACCAAGAGATATTATAGTAGATTTTAACATTTATTTATCAAGTTCCAAGACTTTCAGTGGTGACTTATACTGATCTGAAGTAAGAAAGGCTGTCAAAGAAGGTCACAGATGATAAAGTCTAAGCCTTTTCTGCAGTCAACTACAAGAGTGCCATCTGTTTCAAAATAGGGTTCTGTGAAACGTTGTTTAAAATTGAGTTTCCATGGCTGAAACGTTATAAAAACCACTAAATAGACTAGTTAATATACAGGATTGTGATAAAGATGGCTACTTGTAAATAACATGTGACTTTGAGTAAGAAATATTGTGTGCTAGAGTGGAATTAGGGCTATAAACTTTTTCAGATGATAAGAAGACTATCTCCATTTTAGTCTGATTGCAAAATTCCCAGGACATCAGCTATCAACACTATTACTTTCTAATTCCCTTAATGGATAACACAAAGTAAGAATTTTGGAAATAGCTATCATCTGAACTATAGAAGAAAATAAAGTTACATAAGATGCTAGGTCAAAATTATAGGGTATTTTGGAAATAATCAGAAACAGGATAATCAGACTGAGTAAATAAAATTACTGAGTACAAAATGTCATGACACAAAGTTTAAGGAAACAGGAGGTGAAAACTTAAGAGTAGAGGCTAGGAACATACTTAGATAATAGAGCATATGGAATGTATTTAAATCCCCAGGAGCAAATAATATCAATATCAATCTCAAAATATCAACTATCATCTTGGAAATACAAGCATTAAGGAGACCAGTCAGAAAGATATTCTTTGGTCAATTCATATCTTAAAAAATAAGTCATTACTTTTAGTTATTTTGATGTATTTGAGGAAACGAGTTTGTTATGGTTTATACATTGTGTCAACTTTTAAAGTTTAGAAGTTTTAACTGAGAGACTAGCAGGGAGTCAGGGTTCTTAAATGTAAATATCTTCATCCTGTGCAAAGGAGAGCAAGGGGATTTTGTAAGTGCTACACCTGCCCTGGGGGTGGGGAATGGCCTGACTACAAAATAAGGGAAGAGAAGAAGCTTGTTTTCATCCTTTTGCTCTGGCTGCCTTTTTGTTCTGGCTGCTAACTTGAAGTGTTGCTCCAATGCCATACCACCCTGCCTTGGAGTCAGCTAATTATGGACTGAAACCTCCACAAACAGTGAGCTAAATAAACCTTTCCTTCCTTCATTGTAGTACTGGGTATTTTGTCTCAGCAATGAGAGAAAAGTAACCAAGGCAGAGTTAAAAGAATTGATGCAATTCTTACCTGAGAAGTACTTTAGGAATTTTGAAAGGCTTAGCGAAATCAAATAGGTGAGTTCAGTGAGCTAAGGGATGGAACAACAGCTCAGAAACATCAGGCTTTAACGTTTCAGAAATGTCTTATGAGCTTATAAAAAGATAAAGGCAAGTTCACGTGGCCATAATCGAGAATGAACACTTAAAAAGTGACCCATGGCAAATTAAGAACAGGATTGTCTTCAAGGCATACAAAGTGTTGAATTTCACAGTTGTGTCCATCAAGATAAAAGTTGTATAATTCTTACAAATTGTCATTTATGTTTAATGGTAACTTTTAATGCATTTTTGGGCAACTCTTTGGTGACTTACACTTATGACATGAATACCCGGACTTATGATGTTTATTTAAAATTCCTTCTTGAATATAGGTACACAATTTTAATTGTTATACCATAACATCATTTACATTTGCTTGGTTAATGACATGTTGCACCAGCTCTCTGAGATAGATATGCTTAGGAAAATGCTTTGTGACCAAAACATTTTAATCATGTGCTTTCATTTCTCATTTTCTCATATGTCAGACAGACTGTTCTGCTAAGCCCTCCAACTTTTTGATACCTGTAAAAACCACCATTCTCAGAATTTGATACACTATAACGACAGCAAGGAGCTCAATCTGTTTCTTTGGAGCAAATGTTTCCTATTTTGCCAGTTATTTAAAAGAGATACATAAAAGTGGTACAAGTGATATTTTGTTTTTAGGCTAAGAACTCAGATTTTGACCAGGTGAGTTCTGGTTTATTTGTGTCTTATGTCTTTTGTTCTTAGTTTCATTTTTGAAAGAGTTTTGCTATATGTCCAGGTTAGCCTTAAACCACTGAACCTCTTGCCTCAGCCTCAACAGTGCTAAAATTATAAACATGCCCCCATTCTAGACAATTTCCTGATCTCTTTACTAAGAGACATTCCTTAAATTCATAATAAAATTAATTTTTTTTACCTTAGTAAACAGTACATAATACAATCCCATGCAGCATGTTTATCACCTAACCATAATACAACTGACAGAAAAACATTTTTGGGTTTAAAAACAGCTTTATTGAGCATACCAAAAACACAGAAACAAGAAAAACTCTGTTTAGTATAAACATAAAAATAGTTAAATACCATAATTTAATGTAAACCAAGCATTTAAAAATGTGAACTATTGTAATAAAATACATGCTACGTATACAGAAGCAAGTTAAAGCTATTTGATCAATTATTGGATCTGATCAATCTTCAAGAAGTCATTATTAGCAATAAAACACGCACAAAATCACTATTTTCACAGGTCAAGAAAAAAGTCATTTTATTTACCTTAAATAAATAAAATTTATTGTGACATTTAAAGCAGAGAAGCAAAAAGTGCCAGTTCTAGGATTCCAGACAACCACTTCATGTGGAGGTTTGTAAATCATTCTACTGAAAAACCATTGAGTCCATTCTTTTATTTAAATACAAACTGGATGACTCAAGTTACTGCTTAAGAAAGGTTCTAAATATATTATGCAAAAATAAACCTTTATTAAAAATGATCAAAGGTGAATGCAATATCAATCAGGTAAGAAAGGCAAAAGCATAAAAATATATATATATATATTTCCAGACTAGCCCCATAATTATAATAAATGTTAAGAAACTCAGTTTATAAAACCAGATTGAGTAGCAAAAGGGATTTTAAAATACAAAACCCATATCCAAACAAAACAAACCTAAGATAATGTGTCTTGAAGAAAGTGGTATTTTGTTTATTCTCGTCATGCAAAAGCTCCCAAGAGATCAATGACTGATGTCGCTATGTATATGGAGCAGTGTTATCTTTAACCAATCTTTTAAAAAATCTGTAGTTATCGATCAGTTAAACATTTGGCTTTTGGTCTGAAGATGATTCATTTTTATACTGTAATTCAGGTATCTTTATGAGGCAACGTTAAATCCAATATTAGGAGTTTAAAATGTAAAATAAAGTTGCAAGAATAAAGTTGTATTTATAGAATTTCTTGTTCCTTTGTCTAATCCTGCAATGTTCAAACTTTTTTTCTCCAGATGCTCCTTTATACTTTTAATATTCAGTGGGGATCTGGATGTGAACAGCTTTTTTATTGAGTTATATGTATTAAAATTTATCATATTAGAGAATTTAAAAAATTAAGTGTTAATTCACTTATAATAAAAATCTATTATATGCTAACATAAAAACATTTCTATTAAAAATAACTATAATTTGTAAGACAGAAAAAATGTGTGGGGAAACAACATTGTTTTACATTATGAGCTCTATGTTGAAAGAATTAGAATGAAAAGACAAATTTCACCCTAGAATTATGATGAAATTATTTTTGACCTAAGAGATGCTCTGGAAGGTATTTAAGGAACTCCAGGGATCCCTGGGTTACACTTTGAAAACTGCTGGCCTAATGTAATACTTGTCACTATTGACAAAAGTCTACATAAAAAAATCTTTTTAACAAAACAGAACAAGCAAACAAGCCCAAACTTCATACATACATAAATCAATGCTGAATCAAGCACTCCACTTTAGATTTAATTAGAAACCAAATGTCACTATGTATGTATGGCATCATTCAAAAAATTATTGTCATTTCTGAGATCATTATCAAGATGTGATCATATTTTAGTCCATGAACGCTTTAACACCTCGTACACTTTAGTGCTTTTTCTAACATTTCTTTATTCTGTTTTTGCTGAGCTGGCAGTCATGAATTTCAGGGATTAAGTAAAAGTGCACCCACTCAGATTAGCAACGTTAGTCATTTATGGAGCATTCTTCTCCATTTTTCACTATGTGAAAGTTCCACTCAACTTCAGGGAAACAAGGATACAATTTTCTCTGAAGTGCAATAACAACAAAAGGATCTTACAATTGGATAGCCCTTAATATTTTACAAATTACTAGCACAGAGAATATCTCAATTGATTCTGTTTTCTCTTTCTGAATCAGTTCATATTAGAAGTTCATTCATGGCCAGTTCCCTCCACCCCAAAGTAAAAGCAAAAATACCATAGTTTTAAAAAGTGTGATTAACGTTGAAATTAAAATATCAACAATAATGAGATCTATGTGTGACTATAACTAGATTTAGTGTCCATTTGCCATAACATGTTCTTTATAATCTTTTTTCCACCACTTGAAGAGTAATAAAAAAATCACAGCTCATAATGTAATGGAAAGTTGTCCCTTAATAATCTTCAGGCAAAGACTTTAAGAAAACAATCTCTAGGTTTTATTTTTAACTAAAATCTTGGGTGACTGAAGATTATGTAGTGATAGGAAAGAAAATAAACAGTAAACTAAAAGGCAGTAAAATGAGAGGGAGAAAATAATTATTGCCCCCTTTAAAACAAAGCAATAATCCATATCTATTGCCTGCTAATGAATACATATATACACTTAGAAATTATTCTATTGCCAGAAATCCCCTCCACTGAGATGTTAATACAAATAACATGAGACATTCAAAGATGCTAAGTTGACCAAAATGTTTCATTTTGGGGAGAGTGGTAGTCAAGGAAGAATAATGAAGCATAAAGTGAGGCATGGATCACATATGACCGGTGATTTCCTTGCTATACACTATAATAAGTTATTCCTTACTGTGAGCATATGCTTTCTTTCAGAGATATTTCTTAAATCAAGAGTGATTACACACTTTTTTTTTTGCTTTTTAAAGTAGATGGAAAATCCAGAGGTTAACAGAAGCCCGTAAGAATTAGAAAACATGCTAAGTACATCCTTTTTGCAAAATTTCATAACGTGTTGCTTTCTATCTATTACATAAATTGTTGATGCATTTTTATTCCCAATTTTTGTGAGTAAAGCTTTTGCAGATGATTTAGATAGAAGTTAGTATATTTTTAGGACAGTTGCACATATACTGGGTTGATATGTATATATATATATATATATATATATATATATATATATATATATATATTCATCACATTAATATCCCCACTGGTATGTTTTCCCTAGCAAAAATGAGCATGTAGAATGATTTTGTAATGGGAAACAAAACTAAAGAAAATCAGACCAGTAAGGGAAAAGTGGTATGCTGTAAGAGTCTAATAAAATAAGTCAATATATATTTATGTAGTGGTAAAGTGCTAGAAAGTTCTTTCATTAGTATTTTAAAAATGATTAGAGTAAAAAGAAGTTTGTAGCTTCATTTGTTGGTGGTGACCACAGGCACCATAGCAATGGCACTGGCTGAGCTGGAGTTGATTATGTCTTCATATTCTGGTGGTGGATCTAAATGAGGTTCTGTTTCACTCCGTTGCAGGTTCACCTGGCCAGTGGCTTCCTCATAGGTTGGTGGTGGATCACAGTTGGATAGGCGAGTGGAGACAGAATCTGAGCGCCCAACTACATATTCTAGAAAGCCTGGTGACAGTCCACTACTATCAAACACTTCATCTGGTGCAGGAGGTGGAGTGATAATATTAAGGTGCTGAGGGAAAGGAATGTGGCCTTCAGTCACTGTCTGTCTTCGAGTTTTGTTTCTTAGGAAGCATCTCCAGATTAAGAAAATGACAAGAAGGATAATGAAGAGGCCAAAGATTAATGGAAAGGTAAGGTAAAACTGAAACCAGTCACTTCCTCTGTTACTCTCTCCTTGGTGGGCTTTTGTGTAGGTGTTCCAAAACTCCTTCTGAAAATAAAAAACAAAATACATCAAAAATCAGTGCGATCAAAACATGGGAAACATCAGAAGAACAACTATCTGGATTCAATGAACAAATGACTAAAACTGGATCTATTGATTTAAAGGACTTACAGTCTATTTTGTAGAACAAGAAATTATGAACACAAATTCCTCAATTTACATGGTGTTATGTCCCATTGAAACCACTGTAAATTGAAAATGTCATTAAATTGAAAATGCATTTAATAAACTGAATATGACGAACATTACAGTTGACAGCACAATGTATTACAGAGTCTCAGTAAATCAAATCATCATTATTTCGAGATTATCTATATGTCAATGTGCTACTCTTAATCTTCCTTAAAATAGTCAGAACCCAAGACTTTTTTTTTTAAGACTTGGATATATATACATTTTCATTTGGACATTTTAGAGTGAAAATAAAGAATGAGAATTTTCCATTTAACAGAATATACCAGGTAATTTAGCCTTAAAAATATGTCAGTGTCTCTCCATATCCAACTTAGAGGTTCTCATCATGCAATCCCCATCATCATTCACAATGTTTAATTAGGGTGCTCTAAGTTTTCAATGCCCACATAGACATTTTATTTTCTCATGGTTCTGTCTGGGGTCTCCTCTCACCAAACATTCTTCCCTAACTCCTTCTTTTTCTGCAAAGTTTAGTACACTAATTACTGAAGATCAAAATTACCGAAGGTCAAAATTAGTTATTATCCTTAAAGGGACCTCATGGTATTATAGAAACCGTTATTACGATACTTGCAAACCTAGACTTTAATTCTAAATGAAAAGGTCCATTGATTCACACTGGTGACGTTTTTTGGGGAAATACTTAAAATATACAAAAGAAATTTGACCCAATTACTAGGTATGCGATTTGGACAGGCTACTCTTTTAAGCCTTGGTTCTCTCACCTGTAAAATGGGACAATATAAATCTCTTTATAGGCTATCTGAATATTCATTGTGATATCATGTAATGAATCTAACTAAATGGTAGTGATTATAATTAATGTTTACATATTGCATTCAAATCAATGCTTTGAAATAACTATTCCATGCTTCGGTACGAGGTCCACTGTTAATCTCAATGTCATTGACATTGGCTCCATTTTTTTCTTACTTAATTTTAATTATCTTTGAATTCTTGGCATTGTACTCAGGGTCTTGCAAACACAAGACAAGTGCTCTATCTTTGAGCTCTAATCCTGGCTCGTGCCTCCAATTTACGTGTGTTAACTGAGTCAATGAGTTTCTTAGAGGCATATTTACTTGCAGCTATTGTAAGTCATTGATTTCATTTAAATCTCTGGTATCAATGAGCCCTTAAAATCCAAAGTGGAAAAAATGTGTTGGAAAGAGAGTTAGATTGTTACTCAAATGGGCAAACTGAGGGAAGTGGATTATATCGGGGATTTCAAACTCAGATGTCTTATAAGGGCAATGGATTTACAGAACACACCAAATCTCATACAAAGTAAGGCTCTGAGAACTAAAGCTGTATGATTTATAGCCTTAAATTTTATTTACTTAGTCAAATAACTTTTTAAAGTACTCTGTGAACACAGCAGTGATGCAGTCATCACTTTCATACCCAGAACTCTCTAAAATGCATTATTACTGTAATATTCTGTGATTGTAAGATGAGTTGGGATGTCTTATGAGAAATATTGCCTTATTTACTAGAGGTGTATACACATTCATAATGAGTTACACTTTTAAAAACTCAGGCAAAAATACACAGGGCTCAAAATTGGGATACACCAAAAGTAGAAAAGATATACTTCCATATAGAGGATTCAGGGTGATAACAAAAACCTGAAAATGTAAATGATTCATTTTCTTGACTAGTATTAACATTGTATCACAGATTAAAACTAATGAGATTGATTGATTGGCTGACTGGGGTGCTGGGAATGCAATCCAGGGTCTTGTGCATGCTAAGCAAGTGCTATAGCACTGAGCTACACTCCTAGCTAACCTGTGTTTTTTTTTTAAATATGCTTTTTAAGTTGCTAGCATGTTGTATAATTGTCATTTTTTAGAATTGACGGCTTTAATTATATAATTTTAAAAAGTAAAAAGCAAATTTTAATGATATGACATTTCATGAATGAAGAAATAGCTGAAGAAATCAAATCAATTGCAATTTTGTCACAAAGGTATAAGCACTATTAACATTTTGGTCTCCATTTTAAAAAATCTTTTACATCTACTCTTTCTCCCATATTTTTACTAATCATGGTTCCACACATAAACAAAAATACACTCTTTATAAATTTGTTATCAAGCTGCACTAAGTGGAATAAAATGTTAGTCATCTGTATCTGGAGAGCTATAAAGTATGGATCTGAGATGTTTTCTTTTATCCCTAAGTAAAATTTTACCCTCATTGTTGCTTGTCCCCGAGATTACAACCTCTTTTGCTTCCATTTCATCTTATCTATGAATGCAAATAAGTATATGTTATTTCAAATATGATATATGTTAACTTTAGATAAACACATTAAAAGTGACTCTTTTATACTGTCCACATTACTATGGAATGTCCAAGAATTAATAATGCACAAGAAAATGAATCATTTTGGCATGCCTGGCATACATAATTCAATTTCTCTGATTTTCTTGGTGTGAAAGAAAGGCAACAATCTGTAGATGAATCTTGTTTTGTTTGATCTTGAAAAAATTTTTAAAAAGATAATTTACCATTTATATTGAAGGGATAAAAAGAAGTTCAAGTGGAAGTTGATTTGGTTAAACCTGATGTTTATTTCACATGGTAACTCAATCTTTACTATGTCAAATAATGCAAGCATATTATCATCCCTATCTTTAACTTAAGGAATTGTGGGCCTAATGGAGTTAAATAATAATAAACTCAAGAGAATTTACCATGTAAACTCTGGAGTGGTATTTGAAATGAAGAGGACAGGCACACACACATACGCACGCAAAGGCACACGCACGCACACACACATGCACACGCACACACAAAAGAAAACAAGCAGTTTGCCTTGATGCATAACATGTTTCAAGTTAATTTGGCCATCATCTTATGAAAGTCAATATTCCCTTCATATTTAATGTGTAGTCAAAAGCAAGCCTGCTTATTTCACAGATAAAGCACTTTCAAATAAGATAATAGTGGTCTCAGCAAAAAAGGTACTGGCAGATTTATTTCTCTTGGAATATACTTACTTCATCCTTGAGGTCAGAGGATCAGATGAAAATACTCTTGAAATCAAGACTGATATTTTAATTGTCATTTAGATAAATAGACTCAGTTTATATCTCTGTAAACTATTTGTCTTACCGAAAGCAGCCAAAGGGCATTTGGAAAGAACAAACAATTTCAAGACTTTTAGAGTGATGCTTTTTGAGGGAATGAAAACTAGTGGTTAACAATGACGCTTACAGTGGCAAATCATTGACATGTTGAATGAAAAGCTTCTGCAATAATTAAACCATATTTTATAGCAATCTGAAGCACACCATGAAAGCTTTGTTTAATGGAGAAAAGTTTTTAAAGAGAATGTACACTATAGTTTTAGAACAGAATAAAATTATACAAGTGATAAACAAACTAATACTACCAGAGAGGTCTGAAAACCATTTCAGAGGAGGGAGGCCCAAGAGGTAGACCTTTCACTGTAAAAGCAGTTCAGTAAGTGAAAAACTTGCATCAAAGAATATTTCCTTCTCTTTTGTAAAATATGTGCTTTTCTATTTTGCATTTTCCCACTGCCATTTATGAATAAAATTTGAGTGACTCACATCCAAATGAAGGCTACTATTCATAATTGGAAAAAGTAGAGCTGAGGATGTTTTACCATTTCTGATTAATCAGTTCAGAGCTCACTTGGGAAAATGGGTGATTTCCCAATGAGTTTGTATTGCATAAAGCCCAGAATTACCTGCATACAATACTTGTGTGGCTTCTCCCTTCTTGAACAAGAATGATAGGAAAGAGAGTAGTTGAAAGATTAGAAACAAAGTCTAGCTTCAAAAGCTGCTTTGTTGGGAGCAGAAATTCAGAAGAACTGCAAGTTGGAAATCTAAACAAGTCCACAACTCTTAAGATTTTACAGAGTAGTATTCTAGAGAAAATGACTGCACTATCACAAAAGTCACTTGACAGATACAGTTAAGTCTGGGAAAAATGGAACATTTGTAAATTGATACAAAAAGTAAGGCATTATCTTGAAAAGTGACATGGCATGGGGTAAAATGTCTGGGAGCAATTCTTCATGTTGAATGCCAGCTCCTTTTGTTTTTAAAGTACCAGTTGAGGATGAACTATCTGGTGAATGAAGAAAGCAAAATTTGATTGCACCTTGTTTAGAATCATTTGAGGAACTCGTTTTTGCAAGGTAGCATGGCACTTACATGAAATAAAATGCTTTTAATTTAGATGTGATTATTGGGAAATTAAAGTTTTGCATCCAGATACCTCGATAAAAGCAGTCAAAGTAGAGAATTTATTACTGGAGCTCTCCTGGTGTCAGAGGCAAAAGAAGGAATCCTATGTCCCAAAATATTACTAGTGACCATGTGAAGTTGATTGTTAAAAATCCATTCTTTCATGCTTCCAGGGAGAAAAACGATAAAGATGGAGAATCCCCACAATTATGCTGTTGTTTAAGTAAGGAGGGGAGGGTATGTATACTGATATCTACACAAAGCAAACATATGTAAATATGAACAAAAAACTCCCAAGGAAGGTTACCTCCCTGGAAGAGAGAGAAGACACTTAAAACCCAGAGGACAGGGAAAGGAGGAAGGTTTCATTATCAATCATTGAATGTTTTATTGATAAAACTTACAGATATAAGTGCCTCTTTTAAGTAAGTCACTTCTGGAATCCTGGCTATGAATTCTAGGGTGAGACAGCAGCCAGTTTTGAAGGCAGATGAGGTTTGGATACCTACCTTTGTGCTTAATGACCATGGACAGTAAAAAGTGCCACTAAATGCTGGGCCC